GGCTTCTGCCGCGATCCGACAGGCACGGGTTGACCTCTTCCTCTTTTTCACCCACTGATTTAGAAAACACATTTTGAAGTTCTCCTTCCGGATACAGAAGAACTGAAAATATAGGGCTTATAGTAAAGGAACCATATAGGTCCATTCAGGGGCTCCTTGTGATCGATTTTCTATTAGGCTTGATTAAAACTAACTTTCCTTGATGTTTCCTACATGCCATTCATTGGTTTATATAAAGACGTTTAAAAATACATAAAATATTTGAAGATGCCTCCTCTCTTGTTTTTCTAGGTTGCTATTTTAAATTCAGACATAAAGATAACATTGCTCGTCTGGTCAAATGCTATATTTTTCTCAAGTTTCTTGCATTTGCCTGGCTCTTGTATACATACGTTAATTTTGTTTAATTCCCATCAATGTATTCTGACTGTAACTACATGTAATTTAAAACTTGTGCAGAATCTGGAAGAAAAGGAAATGATTTTGAAATGCTGTTCTGTTTAGTAATGTCAGAGGTGGACGCTTCTTCTGGAGGTGGCCTGAGCCTCAGGGGCATAAACTGATAAGGAGCATAAATTGATAAGGTCGTTAAGCTGTCTTGTGATGTGGACAAGCCTCTGCTTTACAGGCCATTTTGAGAAGTTCATCTCAAACTTGTGACTAGTTAAAAATTATGCTGCAGTTTCAAAGTTTCTGTAGAAGTTAATAGGAGACCATATTAACTGATTAATGAGGTGTACATCATTTTTCTAAAGATATTTTACTTCTCCTGATAACAAAGTCAAACCGAAAGTCTTGGTTAGGATACCAAACTTTAGCTAAGTGCTGGTGGTTGAAAAATACATAAAACATGTGCAGTTAGTCTGAGTAAAGTTTGTCGTGATTCCATTTAATTTGGAAGCTTAGTGTATGAAAGTGAAAAATAATTCTTGGCATTGTGAACTAAAACCAAATAATATAAGAGTTTAACAAATGGAAGAGCTGAGCTACAGAATGTGGTTAATCGCTCATATTTATATGCCAGAGATAAGGATAGGTATTAAACAATATACTAACTAGATCATTTTAAATGATTAGCATTATGATGCAGTAAGTTACATCAGTGGATTGTAGCAGGGGTGGTGACTTCTGGCTTCAGATCCCAATGGTCACTGAAGGCTTCTCTAGCATGTGATGAGATGTTGCTGGGAAAAAGAAGCCAGTCACATGGAGATCATGGGAGGAAGAGTCTTCTAGGGACAGGAAATGGCGCCACGCACAGGCCTCAAGACAACGATAAGCCATTCAGGATCTGAAAGAAGGCACTGGAATTAAGTGTCTTAGAAATAGTGACATTTACCCTCAAACTGGTTGTGTGTTCTTAGGAAATAGGTACATTTATTCACTCATTCTACAAATATTTGTTAAGCACCTATTATATAGCCAGATACTGAGATAGAGAAGTCTACAAAATAGACTGCCCCTCATTACTTGTTTTATATAAAGACCTTTAAAAATACATAAAATATTTCAAGATGCCTCCCCTTCTTGCTTTTTAGGTTGTTACTTTCTTTAAAATCAGACATGAAGAAAAACCATTGCTTTTTCTGTCAAAGGCTATATTTTGACAAATACATTTTTATAGTTTGGGACAGGAAATGGAGCAAATCCAAAGCTTTATGCTATTGCTCACAATTAAGAAAGTGAAACTATTTCTATGGTTTGTCCATGCCTAAATGCTCAGTATCTTGTCCAAGATAGAGATTTCTAGTTGCCAGTGCCACTGGCAGCTGAAAAGGAAATTGGCAAGTTCCTATAGCTTCAAAAACCATGTAGACACCACTAATCAGAGTTAAGAGTATGACTTGGAGACATGGATGTGAGACTCATTTGTATATAGATGTATGTGTATGGAGGAACAACCCCCCCCCCACACACACACACCCAAGAGAGTAGGAGAGAGTACATAAATAAGAAAGGAACATTTCCTCATCCAATGTGTTTGTGTTGGGTGTGAGCCAGTTTTTCTAGACCTCTAGTAGCTAGAGGGAAAGGAAAAATAAAGATGCCATTGAACCAGGAGAAAATTGTCTCTATCCATGTAGTAGAATATTTGGCTGTAAAAGGAAAGAAGTATTGATTCATGCATTAATATGGATGGACCCTGAGAACATCCTGAGAGAAAGAAGCCAGTTACAAAAGAACACATATTGTATGATTCCATTCATATGAAATATATAGAATAGGCAAACCTATGAAGATATAAAGTAGATTCATGGTTGCCTACAACTGGGGAGGTTGGAGAGCAAGGGGAAGTGACTCTTTATGGGTATGGGCTTTATTTTTAGGGTAATAAAATATTCTAAATGTGATGTGATGGTTTTACAACTTGGTGAATACTTTAAAACACTGTTAGATTGTACACTTTAAATGGGTGAATCACATGATATGTGAATTACATGTCAAAAAGCTCTTATTGAAAAAAAATAGATGAAGAATTTTGAGATCCAATTGGTGGTTTATAAGATACTTAGTCTTATTGAATCCCCAGATCCAGTCTTAGCCAGGTATCCAAATCTTATGGTTCTATTTCATGAATTCTTTTGAGATAAAGGCGATAGTGATATTTCCTTTTCATAGTCCCTGTCAGTATTGGATTTATAGTGATATTTCCTTTTCATAGTCCCTGTCAGTATTGGCCTCTTGTTTTTTACTGATTTTTGTTTCTTTTGTTGTTTTACATTAATAAGTTCCTCCTTTCTCCTAAAAGACAAGCTTGACTTGAACAGACATTTCACCTTTGTTGTTTAATTTGCTTGCAGCTCCCAAGTGCTCCTTTTCTTGCTGGGCCTATAGCAGACTCGTAGTGGAGAGCTGGCTTACAAGTTGACCGCCTACTACTCTGCAGTATTCAGTGCACACATAGAGAAAAGATGGAGTGGGAGTAGTTGAAATTCTTTGTTGTGCACAGTCCTGCACATAGGACACCCTTTTCATTCTTTTCAAACTCTGGATGGTGTGGCGTGGATAGAAGGAGAAAAGAATTTCACCTCTCCTCCTTCCTAAAGCGGCATCCCTGCCTAGTTCCTGTCCTAGTGCTGGCTCCTGGGAGAGGAGCGTCATTCTTGCTCTGTCAGGAAGGAGTATGTGTGGGGAGCATTTTACAGGCCATGGCTTTTTCCCTCACTTGTTGGCTTTGCTTTTTCAGATTTGACCTTCCTCTTCTTTTATCTCTGAAATTAGAGATCCATGAGTCATATGTTCCTGAGTGTGTGTTAAACTAGATATAGTAATGAAATTCCTGGGGATAGCCTGAAGTTCCATATGTGTGTTAAACTAGATATAGTAATGAAATTCCTGGGGATAGCCTGAAGTCTGCACTCCATTTAATAAGTACTTAAATACCAGTTCTGTTCCAGTAATTGTTTTAAATGTTGAACAGAAAAAGATAAATAGCATGTGGGCCCTTAGACAAAATATGTAAACAATTGAAATTATACTCAGAAAAAGGACTTAATAACTCTTCCTTAGAGAAATCAGAGAATTTCAGAGGGAATGCACAATTTGAACCATATTTTGTTTAACATGTTTAACTCGACTCTGTCCTTTAAAGTTCCGTTGTTTTGATATCGACGTAAGAGTTGTACTATTCAATGTGTCTGTTTGATAGATTTCAACCCTGTTAGGTTAATCAGGTTTGTATTTGTAACCTCCCAAATTCACAGTTCGGAAACTGTAAGCCAATCATGTGACTTTTCTTTTATGTTATTTAGGTGACTGCTTAGAAAACTGCACAGTCCACCAACATCTGATGAAATTAGTGACTAAGCAAATCAACCATGTCTTACACGCCAGGAAGCATTGGTGACCCCACTCAGCTGGCCCAGCGTATCTCTTCTAACATCCAGAAGATCACACAATGTTGTGAGTTGAGTTTTAAGTTGACTTCACTGTTTGTTTTCAGTTCTTAGCTGAACTTGTTGGAGATTAATAAAAGGAGAACTACTAGAGATTGAGAGAGGGGAGAGCTTTCCTTTAAGAACAGATCTTAAAAGTCTAGAGTTCTTTGGAATGAATATAAGAAATAATTACATGTAGAAGAGATAACACTGAACTGCATTTTTCTTTAGCGCTCCAGGCACATAATACATGTAATTTCATGAATGAAATAAAGATTTAAAAAGGTAGATACTTATGTTTGCTTTATAATTCCCTGGTTCTGGATGAGATCAATGAGACTTACTGACTAAATCTCATGGGTTTAGAACTGGGCAGCACTGTCAAGTTTTTAAGGAATGTATGTTTGTAAAAAAAAACACACCTGACTGGATATGGCTTAGGTTAATTTTGTAAAGGGTAAGTACATAGTATGTTATTCAGGAGCAGGGAAGAACTAACAAGGGAATGTTTTCATCTGTTGAGGCAGATATAGAAGATACCTATTTGGATTCCCCACAGATTCCTTTGCTATTCCTGTCAAAGACAATACTAGTAGATTGATCCAGTGTGGCATTTTATTAGAAATTATTACTCCTCAGAACATACATAAGACTAAAAACAAATCACTGAAGCAGTTTTAAGCCTATAGATTTTTGTTTTGTTTTGTTCTTTGTTTCTGAATCACAGCTAATCACATACTTGGCTGACTCTAGTCATCTTGTGGTCAATGTTTTGGCCCTCTTTCAGAGTGTTAGTATAGTTTTATTCTTCAGCATCTTTCGTTAAGGCTAGTTTTTTTTACCAGAATGCTAACACAATGTTTTCAGATGACCAGATAGGTGTATCTGTACCTAATCAGTAATTTCCCAACAATTAATACTCTTAATTTAAATGAGATGTCAATCTGTTTTGGAACAAAGGGAGTAAAATTAGATTACAGATGGTTCTAAAAAAGTTTCACTGTGTACAGCTGAGTAGAATAATGCTTATTCTGATTTGGATTACTTCTTGTTTTCTTTGACCATTAGAGGACAAGGAAATGAGTAGTGTAGATGTGTCATTTGTCTGTCCACAGCAGGGACTACGGGAATGGGACATCGAGGATTGTTCCAGTTTGTGCCAGGGCACCAGCATTGTGTCCACGTCGTTCTTCCAGCTTCATATCTGATCTGATGATAGTCAAAAGCACCTCTCATTTCTGTGGGTTCCTTGTTTTTGGTTAGAGGCCACCTGTGTGAAAATTAAGAGAGCTTTTCATTTTAATTTACATGTGCGGAAAATCAGGACCTTTGTATAAGAAAGGAGGCCAGAAGGCCTTCCTCCAAAGAATAAGTCAGGTATCCTCAAGCTCAATGGTGCCAGGACTCCTGGGAAGAAGAAGTAGCTGTAGTGTACTGAGATTACAGAGGCAGTAAGCGCTTGGTGGTATGAAACATGCATCAGGTGGAGATTGCATGTGAACTTGAGCTGAAAGGGCGTAAGGGTTAACTTAAATCAGGTCATGCTCCCCGGGAAAGAGATTAGTTGATCCAGCCAGATGAGAAGTGATAAGTTGAACCAGGGTTGCATATTCATGGCATAGTTGATAGCTGAGTATTCGACTACATTGTGATTCAGAGTAGTCTTGGAGTGATGATAAGACCCACCACTATGCCTTGTGAAGATCTATTATACGGGGAGTGTTCAACCATGTGACGTTACAATCAACACCTTTAGATATTTGAAGCATAATCTTATGTCTTGTGTAAAATATAAGAAGCTGCCTTAACTTAAATGATGCCCTGATTGAGGATGAGAAGGGGCTGGCAGTGAGGAGATACTGGGAAAGAGCATTTAAATGGAGGCCACAGCTGGTACTAAAAAAAGGAGTCCAGATATTGGCATGTTCAGAAAATATGAAAAAAATAAAAAGCTCCAGTGTGGCTGAAGCATAGCACTTGAGGCAAGAAATCAGAGAGGAAGTGAAATCAGAGAGGAGTTGAGCAGGTCACCTAGAGCCTTGGAGGCTATCTAAGGAGTTTACATTTCATTCTAAGAGGCAGGGAAGAGTTGCAATCAGATCTGTACTTTGTAAAGATTGCTTTGGCTCCTCTCAGAAAATAGACTTTGGGTAAAGAGAAGGTGGACACATTGGCCACAGGGGCCTGATGAGAGATGTGGCTTACACTAGGGTGATAGCAGCAGGGACAGAGAAAAATGATGGATGTTCTCTGCAGACAGAGCCAGCAGGACTTGCTGATGAATGCAGATGGATTGAGAGAGAAAGACAGGCATCCAGGATGACTTGTGGCTTTTGCATTGCTCAACCAAGTGAATGGTGGTGAGCACGTACCAAGATGGGAAGGACTACAGTTCAGAAGTGGGGAGAGTTTTGTTTTGGTCAAGTAACTGTTGAGATATCCTTTAAACATCTAAGTGAAAATGTCAGACTTCTATTTTAGATATAGTAGTTAGGAGATTAGAGTGTCATCAGAGTGTATATGGCATTTAAAACCATAGGTCTAAAATAATCGCAAAAGAATGAGTACAGTTAAGAGAAGAGGACTGGAGCATTAATAAAATGTAGAGGTCAGGAAGGCAGGGAGAGAACAGCATAAAAAATCAGGAGTAACCAGAGATAACAAGAAAATTAGGATATGGTGGATTTCCAGAAATTTTTTTAAAAAGTTTCAAGACTCAGGGGCATCATCGGTGTCTGATGCTGCTGAGAGACTAAGGTAAAAACAGAGAAGTGGATCTTGCAAACTGATGACTTTGGAATGAGTGGTCTCACATCCATATTCCAAGTGTAGAAGAAGAAAAGGAGGAAGGAGGGACAAGACTTCCCAGAACCCTGCTCACCTCCACTTGTATTACTGACCAGAACTTAGGTATAGTCACATAGCTACACCTCGCTGCTAGGGACGCTGGATTGCAGTGTGCTCACTAAAGTCGGGGATCGCTTCATTTCAGAGAGAAGGGAAAAATCAGTATTTAGGCACCTGTCAGATTCTGCCGTGGAAGTAGAAAGAGGGTCAAAGAAAGGGTTGCATTTTTCCAGGACACGAGGGAGACTCTGGGGAGAATATAACTGTAAAAGAAATGTCTTTGAAGTCTGTTGGGGAAGGGGAAAGAGAAGGGGAACGGATCTTTAGTGTCCAGCTCATCCACTGTGCAGAGTTGTGTGGTATAGACGGTAAACGTGGTGGGTGAAGATAAGGAGTTCCTGGCTGAATGGGCTGTTTTTTAATAAAATGGGAGGCAAAGGCATTGGATAGAGAATGGGAAGGGAGGCTGGTGAAAGTCTATGGAAAGAAGAGAAAGTCATTACTTGTAGTTCTGACAGTTGAGGGAATTGACATCCCTTGGACGCAGAAAAGGGTTAATGGCAGGTTAAATATTCATTTGAGATCTGGGGTCATGAAGTTAGTGAAGCCAGTCATCACTCTATTTTTTCTAATTCCAAGATTCAGTGTCTAAATGGAGAGAAGTTTAGATTTAGATAGAGTTGGTTGTTAAAAATTTAACCTACTCTCCAGTGTGTGTTACTGAGAAGGGCTGTGAAGAAATCACTTGGAAGTGAAAGGCAGAAGTGTGAAATTTCAGTTCACTTTTCCCCCCATCTGGTAGTGCTAATAATACTGGACCTGATTGAATAAAATGGTACTTTGCACCACATTGGGTGCTTTTTTCAGACTACATTTGCATCTTGTGAATTTGTGTCTGCACAAATTATCTAGTTTTACAAAAGAAACCTAAAGAGAAGATAATGTAAGTAAGGTAATGCCCTCGTAACTAGAATATGTGCATTTGTTTCAAGTAAGGCTAAAGTCTTCCTGAGCAGTGGGAAATTTTTTTTTTTAAATTAGTTTTGATATAGATCAATGAAAACTTGCAAAATACTGGGTTGTATGGTTTAGTTTATACCAAAAAAGAAAAGAGCAGTCAAAAAGATTTTTTTATTCTTGGAGGAACCCAAGGATAACATTTAGTAAGATGGGAGTTGTTTGGGGTTTTTTTTTTTTTGCTTGTTTTTTTCTAGTATTTTATTCTGGCAGTTCTGTTTTGCAAAGAATAGGATGAAACAATGTATGTAGACATTTTTCCCCTTAAACAACTTTTTGTTAAATGGCTTTACTAGTGAAATATTTCAACCATATTGTAGTAATATTTATATCAAACAGAATACTTAAATATTGTGAATACTTAAATATAAAATATGTTTAAACAAAAGTAGATTATAATAAAATAATATAACTTTATTAGGGATTTCTCTGTGACGCATTTAAAAGGATTAAGAAAATATTTTCATCCTGTGAGAGAAAGTGTTGTGTTGACTATCACAGGCTCAGCAAGGTATTTGTGCCCCCAATGCTCACCTTTTGCCTGTGGCATAAGCAGTGTTCTCTTTTGCTGGCCCTGACATGGCTCCACTCTTTCTTCACCCAGTGCTCCAGGCAGCGATTCCCCAGGGACTGGAGTTGGCATGTAAATTAAACTGTGTTATCCCAGGTCTAGAAAATCATGAATCAAAGGAGTGGTTAGATTAGTCCTCAAGCTTTGGCATGAGATGTTCAAAAGTAACATTTTTATTAGCAGTGTCAGGAAATGAGATACACACCCTTTTACCCTTTATCTTCTGTATTTTCTTTGAGACAAACGCCTACCAGTGATGTATAATACAAGAGTAAGCAAGCCTTTGGGTTGAAATGGCTGAGCCTGTTCTATAAGGTAAACCCAAGGAGGGTATTTTCACAGGGGCCATTTATTTATCTTTGCGCAAACACAAACAATAGAAGTGCATTCAGGACACACAAACATGCAGAAAGAACTCATGTTTTTGAAAGAAACAGAATAAATATGTTGAAATCTATCACATAATTGTTTTTAACTTTAAAAAAAAAGATGTACAATATAAAAATTGAGTAGTACACCAATTATTAGTGTATAGCTCAATGAATTACCTGTAACAACACCACATGTAAATAAATAGAACATGTAATTAA